TAGGCTAACAGTAGTAATGGAACTTTTGTTCACGGCACAGAATTCTAGATCTACAATTTTTCTGTTTTACAGTGTAGAATTCTATTCTGTGGTTCAGGGTGAACGCAAAAGGCCACCTCTATTCTCACCCGGGGTGAGAATAGTGCAGGCGAGTCTTTTGGCTATTCTCACCCGGTGCGCGTTCACCATTATCTAGATCTGGGCCAACCAATTTTGCGTTCACCCTCCTAAACAACAAAATTCTACACTGTGATAACAGAAAAATTGTAGAATTCTGTGCCGTGAACAAACGTTCCATTACTACTGTTAGCCTACTAAAAGCGTACAATTTTGTCTGTGGGCAGTGGAGAGAGAGAAAGAGAGAAAGAGAGAGAGAGAGGAGTAGCGCGAGAACTTCCGGGCAAAACAAAATGGCGACCCGCGTAGTTCTGCTCGATTCGAAAAGTTAAATAGCCGTAGCATCTTTGTAGACGACCAAATTAATTTACTTTTGTGTTTTAACATCATTTTTTAACTTTGTTTTGGTCAATTTGATCGTCCACACCGATAGACATTATTCAGAAAGAGATAGAGAGAGAGAAGAGGGGAGGAGTAGATCTTGCGAGAACTTCCGGGCAAAACAAAATGGCGACCCCCGTAGTTCGGCTCGATTCGAAAAGTGAAATAGCCATAGCATCTTTGTAGTCGATAAAATTAGCTTACTTTTGTGCTATACTATAACGTCGTAATCTTTTCTTTGCCTTTATCCATTTGATCATCCACATCGATAGATATCTAGATCTAGTAAGTATTCCGAAATTAGGAAAAACAGGTCTTGTTTCACACCAGGTGACAATAGCCTACGGTGGCAAGTCTCACCCTGGGTGAGAGGTCGATCGTATTTCTATTCAGTATTCTCACCCCGGATGAGAATAGCCACTTCCAACGCAAAATTGGTTGGCCTAGATATCTATAGATCTAGATCTAGAATCTAGATCTATAAAGGTGAACGCACACCTGGTGAAAATAGTCAAAAGACTCGCCTGCGTGAGAATAGAGGTGGCCCAGAATCAATCAATAAATTAACGATCCAATCTTCTTGATCTCTATCATTTTATAATGAAACGGATCCGATGAAATGTAAACACGCTGGGGCTGGGTCAACCAAAGTTCAATCCAGTCACAATTTATACCAGTGAGACTACAGACAAGACTTCTTACTTACCACAAGGCTACTACTGACTTGTCAGTTGTTACAGAAGACAAAATAGGCCTTTAGTAGGGCACTTTCAATACTTTCAGTTCAGTTTAGGCAGTTCAGTTGAGTTCAGTAGTTCAGGTTGCGACCATGCTGTTGTTTATCTCATAATTTTGAATTTACTAGAGTAGGCTCCCTTGATCAAGAGCAAGTCATAATATACTTGATCAAGTTGTGCCAAAATTTTAGTGTACAAATTTCCATTTTGGAAGCATAGGCCTACTATCGTGATACCGGATCCTACGCATCTCTAAATAAAGCAACCCGTTTCATAAATAAATGTCTTGAACTATTTTGTTGCAAACTGATCAAAAGCAGTATTTTGAACTTCGATTGTCAAAAGAATTTTTTTGCTCAAAAAACATCACCGCCGTTGGCGAACAGGATCGCTGAGTGGCCGCTGGTCTCGACCAGAGAGTTTACAGTAATACTAGAGAGATGGCACTTCGCCCTGATGCGCGTATCTGGGTCACCAGCTGATCGTGGAGAAAGGCGCGGTAAACAAAACAAACTGCGTCCATTGTCCAAGGCATTTTCGTTGATCGCAGACAAGCATGGCCCCGGTTAGCACGAAATGTCGATGGTGCTGTGCTATAAACTGCACCAGTTAGAATCAAAATATGAGTTTCTTTCGATTTCCAAAGGATGACGAATATATTTTGATGAATAGAAAAATATAGATCAAAATAATGACAGCGTGTATTGTGGTCCTACCAGACTGACACTCCATGCACAAACTCAACACACTTCAACTTTGTTATATCAGCTATAAATTGGGGGGGGGGGGGGTCCTGTCTGGGATGGGGGGTGGAAGGTGGTAGGGATCCTATTAAAGTCTTTAAGTGGTAGATCTATCATTATTAATATTAATTAGATCTTTCATTGTGGGTTTGCAAAATACTGAGGAAGTATCCTGTCCATCTAGCTGAGCCTCCTACTAGACAAGGGGCTGGGAACCAGAAGGTAGGTCCGCCTGGTGCCGCCCCGTTCGCACACCAGACGGTCATCGTTCGTGACTGTACTCCCCATAGCCATGCAGCTTCTAGGCACGAAAATGACACCGTAAGCTTGGGTCCATGTACTCCACGGATTCTTGGGGGTGTTGTCGACAGACCTCCTTAGGCTTCGGGAATTTTTTTATCAAGGTTGTCTCCTTTAGATTTTTCGTATTCTGTTCCTGGACCGCGATGTCTAGGCTTAACGGGGTCACCTCAAGAAGGGGGAACAGCTTCAGAGTGCTCGACTACCCGAGTACCCTAACTTCTGACACCCTCGGTCTCCCGGCCGACGAACAAGCACGCGCACAGATTTCTCAACACTGACTTTGAACTGACACCACTCTCAGGTTAGAAATAATGTAAAAACGTCTGTCCAATTCTATTAAGGTACCGCCCTACAGTCACCTGTTCCCAGTTCCTAAGCCAGACAAGGACCCAAGCAAGATTGCCTCATATCGCATAGTGACCATGCAAAATACCGCTGGGAAGCTGCTGGAGAAAATCGTGGAACGCAGATTGACAATAGAGCTGGAGGAAAAGAACGTCCTACCGCCGGAACTGGGCAGCTATAGAAGAGGAAAGATCACATGGATAAATGCTGCCACTCTTGCATCCGACCTATATGATGGCTTCAACGACGGGTGGGGGGGGGGGGAGAAACTCTGATAGCAACACTTGACCTGGAAGATGCCAACAACCGAGTTCAGTACGACACCCTCATGAGGACTCTAGTCAACCTGAGGATAGATTCACATTTACTACAATGATGAGGGAGAGCAGCCTGGAAAGAGTGGCCTGTAATTTCAGTCTGGGTCACACGGGGGTAACCGGCAACAAGAGAGCAGACAAGCTGGCTGGAGAAGCAAAAGTGGGATGGAATTTGACACTGGACCCACCAACCGTCCTAACCGCAGTAAGGGAAAATTTGAAGAAGAATAGGGCGGATAGCGGTTCCTACACTCTAGGTAGATTGAAGGAGAAGGGGATCCAAAGAGGAGAGGAGAAACACAGCCATTTGTGCGGACCAGTCCGAGTGATCTCCAACCAGATTATGATGGAGACTATAAGTAGAAGACTCTGGGATGGATCCTGAAGAGGACGTGGCCCCAACACAGTGGACAAGTAAGACAAGTAAGTACATGTATCTATCATTATTGCTTCATGTGCTTTTCCATGATCTGAAATTGTGAGAATTTAATATAATATGTGTTTGTATGTGTGTGTGTGCGCGCGCGCGCAAGAGAGAGAGAGAGAGAGAGAGAGAGAGAGAGAGAGAGAAAAATG